AGAGGCATCTGCTGAAGCAGAGTAAACCAGTTGGGTCCACGGCGACGGTCAGAGGCATCTGCTGAAGCAGAGCGCCAGAGGGCCTTCAGGCGGACAGCCACCCCACTCCTCTTCCCTCGTTTTCTAGTACGCTGTGCTATATCTCCTGTAGCCACACCCTCTTGCTACTGCTGTACATCCTCATCCTGACTCCAACAGAGGCATTCCCAGTACCCTATGCGGGGTGGAGCTTGTTGACGCACTGCAGTCTGTGTGTGGAGAGAGAGGCTTTTGTTTCAATCAGCCAGGCTATGACTCCAGTAAACCACGGTCACATGGGATTGTGGATGAGTGCTGCTTCCAAAGCTGTAAGCTGTGGCGTCTGGAAATATACTGCGCATCTGCCAAGATTAGCAAGCTGGCTCACTCTGTGCTTTTACAGTGCCACACAGATATGCAGAGAACATCTGAGGTTAGTACTGCAGGGCACAGAGCACAGGACAGCACAACTGCCAGACAAGACAAAAAACACAACACAAGGAGAACTTTACCTGGACAGAGTCATTCATCCTTCAAGAAATGACAGATGGCAGGGCTTCCCTTTTCAAGCAACTACCTTCAATCCATGCAACATTTCTCTTTGTCACTTGTGTAAAATGATCAATAAAGCCTAAATTGTGGGTATGTGTGAAATCTGCTACTCTGTGTGTGTTTTAAAAAAAAAAAAAAGTCATTTCCTGAGGTTTACAATAAAAGAAAATGATTACAGCATTGTTATTCATGGTGCTTGACTGCCTTCTGTAGAAAGCAATACTGACAAATTGTTCGCTATTCCCCTCAAAAGCCCTTTATGAATAGAACAAAAACAAGGACTGTGACGTCGCCTGGCATGGCGCAGCCGGGGCCCCACCCTGGAGCCAGGCCCGGGGGTTGGGGCTCGAATGCGAGCGCCTGGTGGCCCAGCCGGGCTTAGCCCGAATGAGCAACATGGGGACTTCCTCCCGTGGACCCACCACCTGCAGGAGGATCCGTAAGGGGCTGGTGCGCAGTGGACTTCTGTGCTAGCCACAGTTTGTCCATAACAAACACCATGTTCAAGCATAAGGGTGTCCATCAGTGCACATGGCACCAGGACACCCTAGGCCGGAGGTCGATGATCGACTTTGTGGTTGTTTCATCTGACCTCCGGCCGTATGTCTTGGACACTCGGGTGAAGAGAGGGGCGGAGCTGTCAACTGATCACCACCTGGTGGTGAGCTGGATCCGATGGCGGGGGAGGAAGCTGGACAGACTCGGCAGACCCAAACGTATTGTGAGGGTCTGTTGGGAACGTTTAGCAGAATCCCCTGTCAGAGAGATCTTCAACTCCCGCCTCCGGCAGAGCTTTGACCAGATCCCGGGGGAGGTTGGAGAGATCGAGTCCGAGTGGACCGCATTCTCCACCTCCATTGTCGATGCGGCCATTCGGAGCTGTGGCCGTAAGGTCTCCGGTGCCTGTCGTGGTGGCAATCCCCGAACCCGGTGGTGGACACCGGAAGTAAGGGATGCCGTCAAGCTGAAGAAGGAGTCCTTTCGAGCCTGGTTGGCTCGTGGGACTCCTGAGACAGCTGACAGGTACCGGCAGGCCAAGC